CCACCCCCCAATTCGACCATTTCATCGGGTTACCCAGTTGACCGATAAACATTTATTCTCTCTAGTGGAGATAAGCACTGTGAGAGTAAAGTGTTGCCTTATAACACAGGGTAACACCCCGAAACTTTCGATAGGGAGTAAAGCGCGCTCACTCTTTTGTCCAACACATGTCTAATATGATTTGTGACAAGGATAGAGCGGTATTTTGAACATTTGTGTTTGTTTGTCCTTTATAAGGATATATCTGCAGCCGTCATTTCGGCCTGGCGGAAAGATGAAATGAGATCCAAATTGAAGATTGTCAAGAAACTAGTTGACGACGCCGACAAAGCGAAGAAAACCGTCTTGCAGCAACAAGTGAGTCATTTTAAACTTTTCAGAAGTTGTCTCGGCTGTTTGCGATTAGAGATGAGATTGGTAAGGAGAATGAGGAAGTCGATATGAAGAATAGTCTTGGTCTAGTTACAAAATTCTCAATGGGAATACGATAGGAAGTGTAAGTAAGCAAGGAGAATACCTTTTTGTAAACAGTGACATGTTCTCTCTAAAACTTAATTTTTAAACAGCAGGGATGTTGAATGAACTACAGCTTTCCCACTAAAAGATACAGAAACTGGGAAATCCTGCTTTAATTTGGGCCACTACAGCACGACATTAGTAGTCAAAGTTGTGTAGAAAAGTAGTCTTGCTACGAAGAAAATGTGAAGAGGGTTGTTTATCTCACTGGCATGAATATCTCAGTCTTGTAACTCGTTTGGGGAATGAGTGCGAATGAAGAACTTGCTGTAAATTTAATTAACTTTTTTTTTTTCTTTCTTTTTCAGGCGATCGATAAAGCGAAAGGCATAGTGGAAGCAGATCCTAACAGATCATTTGTCGTTGATGTGTTTGATGCTGGTTCAAATTCTAAGGTGAGTGACTTAACTGTACCGTTGGAAAGACAGGTAACAACGCCATGATAGAGGTGAAACATACAATATGTCCTATTTCCGAGATGCATTGCGCACCCTAACTAGTGTGAACACGTGACTAACCGATAAATTCTTGGTGGGTATATTTTTCATAATTTCTAGACTTTCCTTGTACATTTTTTCATTTAAGATTCTTGACGCTGCCATGAAACAGTTCAAAAGCCTGGCTCCGAAAATGGCCGCTCTTCTTTTCAGTGTGGACGAAGAAAACTCCAAGATCATCTGCTTGGCTCAAGTACCCAAGGTTTGTTACTGGGGAAACATGCTCCAGAGGCCATATCATGTATATTTCCGCTATTGAAAAAAAGTTCTTTGAACTTAACTATTGCTGTATTTTGCTATTCCAAAGATTAACATGATCCCTCAGAATTTGCCTTCAAATGTGCTAAAAATTGCAAAACTGTTGCATGAGGTACTGAATCAATTTTTAGATTATTGGTGATCTCGAAAGGTTGCAGGTTCATCTTTGAAATCTAAGAACTCCGACAGTGTCATAATTTTTTCATACCTACTTTGCTATGACTGAGATCAAAATTATTTAGTTCCCCTTAGATCTCATAACATTTCACCATTCATTCTCAGGGGCCATAAGCTAATTGTTCGCCTTTGACAGAATGCTGCTCTGAAATCTATGTGAAAACCGCTCGTTTAACATGGCTATCAACAATCTTTGTATTGCAACCAAAATATTTATTTGTGCAACCAAAAAAGGTACACGAGTGATTCTGAAATCACGAAGACGGTTCATTGTTGACCACTATTTACTGAGGTGGATTGTGTTAATATTCACCTAGCCGTTGTAGTGAGATAATATAGCACCAAATGATAATTTTACCTCTTTCTCTTCCTGCAACGATTACAATATTTTCGGGTGCAAATCACGCGCGAGTTACTCGGAGGTGAATAGCTAAGGATATTTACAGTTTAAGTAGCCAATCAGAGCGCACCTTCAACGCTATTGATTGTTTTAGTATATACTGAATTTTCTTATGGTTGGTCTGCAGGATGCGATTGCGCGCGGTCTGAAGGCAGATGAGTGGGTAAAGTCAGTGTCCGAGCTGATTGGTGGAAAATGTGGCGGGAAGGACCAGTCTGCGCAGGGATCTGGGTCCAACGTTGGCTGTGTAAAGAAAGCTGTGGAGACTGCGACAAATTTTGCGCAACAAAAACTTTAAACTTCATGAAAACAAAGCTCAAAATAGGAAATTTCGTTGCAATCGAAATACAGGAGCGTGTGTTTGAATACACAAATAAATATTAATAAATATTAAACGTTTTGCGAAGACAGATAGTCACAGAGCAATGCAGTCAGAACACGTTTAGTGGTAACAGAATTAAGTCGGGAGAACTTTAGAACGAGAGGGATCGAAACTCGCCACAACACTGCTCTGTAGATTTTTGATAGTGTAAATTTCGGCCAATTTCGTTAGGCACGGAAATTTGGCCAATATTACTAGTACGTGGTTAAGAACCCATTAATAAAATGTCTTTCTTCACCAACTTAGTTGCACGTCATCATTTTATTTTCAAACCACTTCCCAACGTGTAGTCGGATATTTTCAAGCGTTTACTGATTCCGTCCAAGCAAAATGGATGTACTAGCAGACTATCAAAGCCGCTGTCGTTATAAGAGGGTAGTCAAACGGCGGATTCTCTTGGTGTAACCAGTCAAGTTTTACTTCGGGGCTGGTTTGAAGAAACATAAAAAGTGCTGTCTTTTCTGTTTTCACTTCACCTCCTCATGAAAAAACGAATGCGAAACGTTTATTTGCATTTTTATTTGCGTCAAGTGGCAATTTAAGAGAAGTTTGAAGAAAGGTGTGCAACCGCGGTTTCGAACCCTGCCCTGTCAAAGCAAAGACCCCTGCTCACTTTCTGTACTACACCCCAAAATTGGGGTTGATTTTCTCCACACTGACCTCTCTACACGCCAATAACCGAACACCATAGTCAGCTATGCACCAAACTGTTTGACACCATAGTAGCCGACCCCAACCATAAGCTACATGGTTACTGCCACAGAAAAATAATGTTGTTTATAATTTTCGATACAATCGTCCCTTTGTTTTACCGCGCGTTCACACCAATAGGGCAAATAACACTTTCATACTCGCAATGTCCCGGCTATTAAATGCATCTTCTCATAATACATAGATTATTTCTTAAATTTTAGTTCAAGGATGAAAAAGTTTTACAAATTTAAGCATTTTTACCATTATATTTAACATAGATTTATCATAAATTATTGTCCTCGGGCTGCGATGTGATTTAAATAAACCATCTATCTATCTATCTATCTATCTATCTATCTATCTATCTATCTATCTATCTATCTATCTATCTATCTATCTATCTATCTATCTATCTACATTTCCTATGGTAATGGCAAGGATAATTTGTTTGGATATCAGAAGCTTCCTATATCAATTTATTCTTATAACGTTTAAATTTGATTTAAGGGTGATACTGTAAGAAGAAGTAAGAACTCAGTTGCTCGAAGGGGTTAAAGGATCAAGACTCAAGGTAGTTGATGCGGAAGTCATTAGTAGAGTGACTTTAGAAAACCACGTAGGATTTGAGCGTGGCTTGGAGCTTGGGATCGAAATTGTTCCAATATGGCGTCGGGAAGAAGTTCCAAGTTCGACAAAGTTCTTGTCATTGTGGGCGCAATTGTAAGCATAAACGTGGTTTCAATAATAGGAACTTACTTCTTGGATGTAAATGAGAAAACGAAGTATAAACTTATCCTGATTCAATGCTTGCTTGCAACACAGTCGCTCATGTTTTTCACAGCAAGATATTTATGGTTACGTCTGTGCTCTCCACTTTTCAACTCTGCTTCCGTTCTAAACAGAATTCTTTTCCTTCTTTTGATGGTGGTTATCATCCTAGCCCAAGGAAGTATTATGCTGGGGACAATATTTTCTGGCATTGAGCCGCATTGGATTTCTTTGTTGTCTTACATATGTTTAGGATTATTTATACTGTTGACAACGGCGACTTTGCTTGCTGATTTCGTGACGTGTCTGTTTGGAGCGATTAACACGCGCTCTGGTTCTCTCGCATCAAAGTCACGCTATGCAAGATTTCACGTTATCGGTATCATCATAATTTCATTTATGTTGGCGCTGGTAGCACTACATAATGGTCTTAAAGAACCGCTGGTGAAGAACATTAAACTACCTGTTAAAAATCTCCCTCCAGAATTAAACGGATTCACGATTGTTCATCTTCCTGACTTGCATGTTGGGCCCACCGTAGGGAAGACCATGCTGGAAAAAGTAGTTCGAACTACAAATCAATTAAATCCAGATGTCATTGCCCTAACAGGAGATCTGGTTGATTCAACTGTGTATCAGATTCGACAGGCAGTTAAACCATTGCTTAAGTTGAAAGCAAGATATGGTGTTTATTTTGTGACAGGTATAGATCGAGAACATACTTTTCAGTTTGCTTTAAATGCTCTTTTAGTTCAAGTCTTCAAAGCCAAGAGTTCTGCTAGTGCCTATCTCACATAAAATGACTAGGAGTACAGGATTGTTACTCATCCAAGATGGGAAACAGAGGTCTGTTGCAGGTACCTTTCTGGCAATTTGTCAAGTTTTCCTGGCAACTTGCTGATATTCAGTTACACTCTTGAGCTGAAGAGGGTACTGTGGGAGTCTGATGTTTTTTCCTTATGGCAAAACAAATTGCCCTTACCAGGGCTCAAAATAGGACCTTTCAAACCAGAGTCCTTTTTGATCCTGAATCCAGATCACATCCATGGATGTACACAGCAGAGATTCCCTTTGATATTGTCTAAAGAAGGGTACATGATGAGAGAGTAAGGACTACCAATCTGATGTGCCTTTTATTTGATAGGAAACCATGAGTACTATACTGGCGATGTTGATGGTTGGCTTAAAGAGCTGGAATATCTTGGTGTAACACCTTTGCACAACTCTCATGTTATGTTTACACATCCAGAAAAATCCCATGCTAAAATTTGCCTAGTTGGTGTAGATGACGTAGAAGGTGGATTTCTAAGGTGGGTTATATGCTGGCAATGCATTCTTAGTGAGCAATTCTGTGATTTTTAACTTAGTTGCAAAGTGCCATGGGCAAGAGGGGTATGGTGCTCTAGAAATGAAATGTAACTGAATTTTGAATTGATTTTTTCAAATTAGATCAGGAGATCATGGAAGTGACTTAACCAAAGCAATGAAAGGAGTTGATAGCAACATTCCTACAGTTCTCCTTGCTCACAGACCTAAAGTAGCAAAGCTTTCCTTGGATAATTACAGTGTTGATGTTGTGCTCACTGGCCATACACATGGAGGACAGCTATTCCCAATACATCTGTGGCACTTGATTAGGGAACCATACTTTGCAGGATTATACCAACACAAGTCTGGATCCTATGTCTATGTTTCAAGTGGGGTACATTTCTGGGGCATGCCAATGAGGTTATGGTCACAGGCAGAAATAACTCATGTCACTTTAATTACTACCAGTTAAATATTAGCATTGTCTCTGTTCAGGTATCTTAAGAAGATTTTTCTAAATTTTTCCAATAATCCACATTCTAAATAAAAGATATTCATATATTTACAGTTGTTCATTCATCACCCACAGGTTTATTAAGAACCAATAAAATGACCAGCTCCCAGCTGGCTTGCCAGCTCAGTTAGTAGAGCACTGCATTGATATCACAGAGTTCATGGGTTCAACTGCTGTACATGCCTTAAATTTTTTTAAAGCTTTATTTCCATGACGGCTGTAAATTAGTAGTGTTCATAATCCCTTCCATCTTCATCTTCATGTGCAGTTCAAATATATGATATTCACATTTTAGATCAGTGGAAAAATCTATAAACTGACATAACAAAGGAAATAACTTTATTTACAAACAAAACATATTACAAAAATTTATGCAACACAAGGAAATTAATATAAAATTTACAACATGCATTGTTTTTTTAATTGTAGTATAAAACAGGACAATTTTGAATTGGGGCAGGCTTACATGTATTTTTTTTATTTTTTATTTTTTTTTAAATCATCAGTTGATAACAATGTAAGAAACCTTTTAATCAGAACATTGAAATAAAAGTTTCATTCCATTCCAGAGGAGAAGTATATTCTACAAATAATTGGTTTAGGTGTTGTGGAATCAGCTACTACCACTTCCTGTCCATCAGTCAGACCAATATCTGAAAAGAGAAATGAAGTATCAAAAAAAGTAATTTGTATGTTATTGCAGTAAAACTAATCTTCAATTGATGTGGAAAGAACCAACTGTTACAGTATAAGCATTTTCTTCAGATCATCACACTCATGAAAAAAGGAAACATTTTCCTTTGTTTGACAATGCAGCTTAAAAATACATTATCTTTCTCCATCTATTTACATACAAAATTGATGATCCTAGCAGAATCCAAGGCACTTCTTGTAAATTAACTCAGTTCACCAACAAGCCCTCTATATCTTAATGGTTGAGTACTAGAACCAAAATCAAAAGTTGACAAAATTTGACAGTGGACAATTAAACTTAGAAATAGAGCATCTCTATTCATGTATATACACAGCTTTCATACCTTTTAACTTCTTAGGTAGATTCTGTTTTGTCCTCTCCTCAATAGACTTCACTGTCTACAAGAATCAAACCTTTATTCATAAGGTGCCACAATGATTCAATATAAACTAAGAATGAGCATATAATTTACTGTATTAGAATTAATGTGAATGGGTTAATAAGAGCAGTAGCTGTATTCCTGATACACTTCTCTCAGGGTTATTGTACTCTCTTTTGGGGTTAACTTGAAGTCCAATTCATCGAAAATGTTACCTGCATGTACAAAGTTTTGTTTTTTCCATCAATAATAGTTGTCAGACCAGGTGCCTTCATCTGACTGTTGAAGAAAAACATTTGAAATGAATATTAAAATAATATCAACTTTCACTTTAATTTATACCCACAATCTATTCATACTTACTATGTCTGGCTCTCCATCAGAAAATCAATCAGGGATTTAAGGGTGGCATCTTCAGGCAAGGTTAATACTTGTGGTTGTTGGCTACAAGCTGGGCAGTCATCCTTGAAGAACAAATAACAATTATCAGTCCTGCAACTTTATATTACTAAGTCTGATGCTGATACTACAATTTGTGGATAAATGACAAAGCTGAATATTTTGCCAAACAATATTATGCAGCACTTGCTTTAATTTCTGCACCAAACTGTATGGGGAATGGTGACCCCCT